CCAAAGGCATTTCTGGGAAGATGATCGCTTCACTTTCACACGTCAAACAGAGAGTGAGTGACTTACTCGAGTGATTGTCTACCCCATGGGTAAAGAAAATAGTACATCATCAGTGGTGCTTTACTTAACCTAATTTATCAGATAACACAAGAGGAGAAACCACATGTATGAACCGGACGAGCTGACAAGCATCAAAGACAGTCTTTGTAGATAATACAATCATTTAACCACTTGTTAAAAATCTGGTACACACTCATAAGCTAAAAAAAACTGATTTGTGAAGTTTAAGTGTGGCAGTAATGGGTCCTCTCTTGGTGACCCGCCCCCCCTTCTTTCCTCATTTGTTCTTATCTACTGGGTTGTAGTGCTTGGTGGTGAGACAGTGTAAGATTATGGAGGGAAATGGAGAACATGCATGCCATGTCGTCAGGTCTGATAAGACGCAACTCACAATGACTGTGTGTGTGTGTTTTTCTGTGTGAATGTGTGTGTACGTGTGTGGTAGAGTGGAAGAGTCTGGCTCTCTGATTGCCTTTGCCGAGCTTCCCACATTAAAGTAGCCTCTGCCCCAGGGAAGAGATTCCTGACTACATGGCAAAATGGAGCGGGGTGGGTAATACGACAAGGAAAAAGATATGAAGTGAGGGGGTGGAGTGGGAGAGTCGGGGCATTTAGGTGAAAAGGAGTTGCCAAAACAACTCCCAGCCCTCATCTGGCATGCATCCAAGTGTCCAACACACACTTGTTCGCTCTCTTTTTCACTTACTTACACACAAAAACATACACAGCTCAGCTCTTAACCACATGTTCTTAAGTGCGGACCGCACAGGGGGTAGACCCTAACCTCCCTGCCCCCATATCCCATTCCTCTCTTCCCCCTCTCAGCTTTAATTGAGAAGACAAATGGATCTTTCAGAGCCCACTATGATGCCACCATACATCAGTCATGACAATGTTAGCTTTATAATGCGGGGCTCGCTGTGAGCCGAACCATATGTTTGGCCCGCGCCGCACGCATGAGCAAACACCTCTATACCATGCTAATGGCGCCCCAGTAATTGCCTGTTGTTTTATTATTAAAGGTAATTTGGGTCCTAATGGAATTCATTCAGCATTGTGCATCAGCTCCACCCCAGACGCCACAGAGGAGAAACCACACTTCCTGTTCCAGATATCAGGAAAGCCTCTTATCAGTCCCAAAATAAAATTAAGTAAAGGGTATTAGAGTGGGATGTGAGAAACTTCCCATCACTCCCTGAAGTAAACTGTTAAAAAAAATCTTTTCACAGCACTGTCTGTGTAAACCTTTTAACACGGAGGACCTGGGTTTATTGTTGAAACAGGAAACAGTGGAAAAAGTCACAAGTCTGTCTCCCATATATAATTTAAAGCCTGTTTTTATTCAATGAAATACAACAATTTGGAATACATTTCTAAAAAAAAAAAAAAAGCCTTAAAATTAAAGGTACATTTTTATTGTGATATCAAAAATAGCATTTATGTGAAACATCTTTGGGCAAATAATGTGAAATTAAAAAATATTTTACAAACATTACCTCTGACATTTGTCCACCAGGTCCTTAATCAAGACCAGCCAGACTTATCCAACAGTAGAGAGAACTGTCTGGGTTCCACCAGATTCTTCTAATTTATTACTGTGGCTTGTTTCTATGACAATCCTTGTTGCTATGACAGACAAATATGCTGCCAGAATTGTGCAACCAGCGATGCATCAGCACTTTGGAACTTTTTTGATGTTTTATTTATATTGTTCTTGTTGTCCTTCTGTTAACAACAATAATTTGTTATTAACAGGTGGTTTGAAACTTGACTGGACAACTCTTCCATCTCTGTGTTAAAAGTTTAATTCTTTGCCTCAGTTGACATTTGAACATCTGGAAACAGTAACAGATTAATATGCACAAACAAGCCGTGGATTCCTGTTTTCCTGAGGACTAAACGCGGGTTAGGGTGAGTGTGATAACTTAAAGTTACAGCATAGTTATAAAGGCATATGATGAACTGTGTGTCAGCGCTCCATCTTAAAGAAAAGCAGACACTCCTCAGACATGTGAGAAAATGTCATCCATGAGCTCAGAATCTGCCATGAGATTTACTCATTTGCCGTGACACACAAAGACCTTCCTGACCTCTGTCAATGTCAGGTCACTTACACATAACACATACATGCAGAGCAGCGGAGCAGTGCACAGCCAGCAGGGTTCTTATCAGGTCATCTTCTGTGTCTTTCCCCTTCCTCCTCTCTTAACTGTAGTCTCCAGTGACTGTTCATGTCTTCTAGCAGAAATACCACTCATGCATTCCTCACTTCAATACAATTCTGCACTTATTTTTTTTAACCCCGATCCACTCTTTGTTTCCCAACACAGGAAGCCAGCATGGTACCCTGGGATCATCTGAAGGTCTTTTTCCTGGTCCCTGCTCCCAGGGTTTTTCATGCCTGGCGTGTAGCATGCCTATGCTCTGACTGGACTCACTCTCATCTAAGGCCAAAAACACCAAAATAACAATCTGCCCTCCCCTCCTCTCCTCACTGTTACTCTGTGGTCTGTGTTCCTCTGTTGTTCACTCGGCCACATGTGACACATCTCTCTCGTGGGCAGTGTCACCACGACCTCACATCGCATTTGATCACAGAATCCAGAGCATATTACAAGGCAACTGTCTTTGGAATATTTCAGTTCTGCATGATAATGTTAAAAACTGAAACTGCATTGACCACCAGCCTCCACCCCCAACTGCCCTTGTTCCCAGCAGCATCTGAACATCAGCCAGAGTTTTTTTTTTTGTTTTTATCAGAGGGCTTCCAGCAGAGCTGGAGCAGCAGAGGCTTCCCAGGAGAGGAGGCTACAGGAAGTCGTAGGATGATAAAAACCGGGCCATTATTGGGCCAGCACAAGACTCCAGGGTTCATTATCCCTGCAACTTCAAAACTCTCACTATGTCCACATCGCCACATAGATGCTACATCCTGACGTACAACACTTGCCCAATTTGTCAATTAAAACTAAGGCTCTGAAATCATTAAAAAATGTATTGGATTCATTAAAGGTTATGCAAATCACAATTATTGGAAATAAATCACCATTCCTAAATATGACAAAAACTTTTTTCAGTAAATTGCAGTAAATTCATGCATGTCAGCAATTAAGACCCCTTCTTGTTGACTCTAGTTCCCCCCTGAAAGTATTACCCAAAAACATTTTTACTTGTCTTAACTGTTGGAAGTTAAAATGAATTACTTTGTTTCTTAAGGTCATTGAAATAATATAAACTGTAGATGGTTTTGTTGCAGTATGCAGATTTATTGAAAGATTAAGTCTGTTGTCCAGACTTCTTCAGGCACTGGTAATTATCTAACTGAAGAAGAATTTCTAAGGAAATTTGGAATATGATTAAAATGGAAACTGAAAACAAATGGAAAAAAATATATAGGACTGCAAGAAATGGTAGTTTAATAGCACTGTCAGAAATATCTGACATATACTTAAAGTCCTTTACTGAAGTTGCATTTTACCTATGTTTGGGGACTGGTAAGAAGAAACTGAAAAACTCCTAAATTATTACTCGGCACTCTGTCAGGTCGTGTGTGGGTGTGAGGAAGGAGGAAATAAGAATAAAAACAGCTGCTCCCAAGATGACGTCACAGCCTTGAACACAGCTGATGTAGTTCCCAAGAATAGTAGGAGACAACATGTAGCCACAGCTTCTACATAGCTGCAATGGGGATGCAGAGCGTGATGGTTGTGAGGAGGTGATGACAACTAATAGC